TTTTCCTCCCCCAGCCACATCAACCGGAAGACACAATATGAAAACCCTGTTCTTGAAGCGAAGAGGAAGAAACAGCTGGAGCAACAGCAACAACCACCAGAAGGTTGGCATCAGGGCGGGTGTGATGATTGGGGTTTTCACTGAGGGCATGTACCCTGCCTTGAGTTGCAGCCCCGTGCTGACGTGTTTGTCCTTCCTTCCATAGCCCTTGGCATCTGAAGGCAAAATGGCATACGTAGGAAAGTTTACATATGCTCCTCACAGAAGACGCAGCAGAGGAGAAAATCTGAAACATATAACCACTTTAATTTGGTAGCTTGCAGCCCTGTAATAGGGAGATGCTTTCTTTTGGATGTCCTTTATTTCTAGAAAGTCTCTAGGCTTCCCAGAAATAATAAAACCCCACTTTTTCTCTTTATACTGCCCCACCAAGTTTACTCAAGCTGGTGTTGTTCTAGCCTGCATTTGGACTAACAGGCTATATAAGAAGACAAGGAGTCAGCCTTTACGTGTACACTAAAGAAACATCTCCGCATGCGTGAGTTCTTAACCCCAGACATTTGGGTGTTATTGAGCTGTGACAGCTAAAACAGTTTGATTATTTTGAATCACTTTTTTTTATTGCAGCCCAACTGCAATGAGGGTCTTCTAGCATTTTGGTTTGTTGTGGTACCTTCATAACTTTCCTGTCCCTCAGCTGAACAGCAGTTACAGTTGAAAGGGAAGATAATTTAGGCCTCGATGTTCCTCCTGCAACCCCATTTCCAGCAACATCAGCTCTACTGCTTAAAAATCATTGGGAACAGATGCCATGAGAGCTGTGGAGAGCAGATTTCATACAAAACATCAAGATCGTTTGGATGCAAACCCTTTCAAGCCCCAAGTTTGTGTGTGAGCTAGACAGTCACAGCAGACAAATCAATTGACCTGGACATAGAGAGTCCTACTGAATTGTTTTTGAACATCTCAAGTTATTAACCTCTCCATGGCTCTGCTTCCTCTCTTGTCAGGCTTCACAGGTCTTCTCTGTTCGACCCCCCACACTCGAGTGTGTTTATGTGCAGGAGCTCATAGTGCGGTTGTGAAACAAGTAACGTTTCCCTCTCTGCCCTCTCTAGAATGGACAGAGGAGTGTCCATCTCTCCCACCACCCGCTGCTCCAAACCATGTTTCAAACAACCAAGAAGCAGTTCGGGAGGCACCAGTGCAAGGTAACAACCTTGTTAAACCAGTTGTTAAACTGCAACAAGGTTTTTCCTGAGAACAAAATTTCTTCAACCACCAGCAAAGGGAGGCTCTCCATCACTAGGGTCATAGGACCAGGGCATGTGACTGCCGAGTTCCCCTAGGTTTTGAGACCATTGGTCCTTCCTACCAGATGTGAGAGACAAAGGAGACTGCCCACATGAAAAGAGGATTGTGGCAATTCTCCATGGTCTTTGTAAGGTTCCAGGCCTTTAAAAAGGCTTGGTGAAAACAGGAGTTACCACATCAACAGGATTTGACAGCAACTGCTGGTGGCTGCAAATCCAAGTAGATGCATGTAGATCCCTTTTCTGCAGAGCTGTAGGGGCACCCAGGGACTAGGCTTTTGCATCTTCTAAACTCTACTGAGTTTAGAATGTGAATCTTATAAGAAGATCTAGTGCAGGGATTTCTTGCTGTTCACACAAGCTAACCTTCCCTTCCAACAAACCCCCCAAAACCCTTATCATGCTGCAATGTTGGTTAAGACGCCAACAGGCATTAACTTGATCGTATTTTAGTTTGAGAGCCAAAGCCAGTATCACACCATGTCTGCGCTCGGGGCAGGCAGACTGTCAGGTTAAAGTAGTTTTAACAGCCCCAACAGCTGCTTAGTATGTTTGGGAGCTGTGATGTGTGTACATCATTGGCAGTGTTTGGCAGTACCTTAATTTTGGAGAGTTCAGGTGTCCTGCTTGCATTTGTGAACTGCCTGAGTAGCTTGTTTCTAGTTTTGCCAGGGAGGGGTCTGGCTTGTGATTTAATGTGTTTCCATTTTCGTGTTTGTGCTTTGAATCCAAATGAAAAATTGAATTCAAATGTTTTTAATGTAGAGGGAGTAGGCGCTGAGGGAACATCAGAAGAGAGTTCTTGAAGATCTTCTGCTGTTTGGGGAGCTTTACTGAGCTTCCAGGCCTCCCTGCTCAATCCTTGACTGTCTGCAGTACCAGAAGGCAAAAAGGCACAAGTGCTTTGGGCACACATTGCTTCAGAAAAAGCTCCTGAGTTGAAGCTCATTAAGTCCCTGGCACCTCTGGGAAGCCCTACAGAGCGAGCAAATGATACTGGTAATAGAGGCTAGTGCAAAGTGCTTTTTCAAAAAGACCTACAGACCTGGGCTCCAGTCTTGCAGTCTTACTGTGGACCTACTTTAAATTTGAACTGAACATGTGCCCAAGCACTTTGGGATATTACGGCCTTATGTCTTAGTCAGTGGTACATGTATGGCCAGCTGCTCACAGGTCAGTGGCTTGTCTTAAATAACCAGCTAGACAGGACATGATTTTTTCTTTTATTTGCAGCATGAGCTGAAACTTTGCCAAATCAGGTTGCCAGAAAGAGCAGAGAGTTTCACTTGTACCTGTTCCCAGTACAGGTGCTCTCTGGTTGTTACTGTAAGTAATCATAAGTGGGCTTTGTCTTCAGCTGTGTGTAAATTGTATAGCGAGCATGTGGCATTGCCCTCATCTGCAGAAAGCCAGAGGCTGGGGAAGGTGAAAGAGCAGACAATTAGCTGGAGCATGTGTCATCCTGATAGATCTGGTAGTGGGTAAGGGGTGGGCTGGCCTCAGGAACTGGGGAACGCTCCTGCGTTCTGCAGTTCGGATATAGTCTCCGAAGGTGAGCCTGACAAGGGCACTGCAGTCCCGGGCTGCGCTTGCTGCCGTGCAGAACCAGGGAGGGCTCTGCTGCAGGTGGCTCAGCCCTTCTGAAGCAGACCTGCCAAATATGACAGCATCCAAAGCCCCCGGTGCCTTCCCATGGGGAATTAGAGTAATCAGACTGGCAATAGGGAAAAGCATGGGAGGTCTGGGTGCGCTGGCATAGCGAGAGGATGCGTTAGGCATCGTATCAAAGTGCCCCAAAACAGCCAGTCCTCTTTGGGGGGAAACCTGCGAGTGTCACGTCGGTGTGTTACACCGAAAACAGAGCCAGGGCTGCCCAGGCAGCCGTGCGTGGCAAGGCAGGGGCCAGTCGCCCAGGGGGTGACATTGGAAACCATACCTAGCTGTCCACCCGTTCCCGACTGCCATCCATCAAAATTTTGTGGCAGTGTTACAGGAAGGCATTAGCCTGTCTCAGCACCGCTCTGCGTGGCTTGTCCTGGCACTCACCGATGACTTTCCTCTCGCTTTTGTTCCTTCCTCCTCCTTTCGCAGCGCTGCTCCCGTCTTCTCGCTCACCCTGGGCAGCTGCTATCTCCAGTCACCCTTGGGCCAGGGTTTTCCGTCCCTGCCAGTGCTGCTGGGACATGAGCACAAGGAACAGAGCAGCGGGTGTTTTGTAGATCTTCTCATCTGAAATGAGACCTTCTCCCAAATGCTAGATGTGGGATATAGCCTATGGTGCAGACTAATGTGCTACTCTTCCCTCTTGCTGCAGGGCAAGTTCACGCTGTGTCTGTAGGCAGATGGCAGCAAGCTTTGCTTACTCCGCTTGTCTTTTGAAACAAAAATTAGCCCAGCACCAAGCACTGGGTAATATACGCTACCTTTCAGCCATCCTCATTACCTGAGACATTGGGTTGCACTTTGGCCAGCAGGGCTTTTTTTGCATTTTGGGGTCTGAGCAGAGCGTCTGCCCCCAGTGTGCAGGATTACCATATTTGTGTGCTCCCCTTCAAAGGCAGAAGGCTGCAAGTCCTCACTCTGCCCCCTCATGAATAATCTTCAAATATACTTCTCCCTCGCTCCCAGTTGAGGGCTTATGAGCCTCAAATCCCCGAGCTCTCCCTCAAGGTCTGCTTTCTGAGCAGCGGCCCATAGTGGTGCTGCTGAGGTTTTTGAGAGTGTGCCAGCTCTGCTGGCTGTAATAGGCACTGCTGATCCTAGAGCTGTCACCAGAGGGCTTAGTGACACAGTCTTTTCCTCTCTAAGCATCAGAAACAATTAAAAGTGCAAAGGTGCTTAGTGTTGGCCTTGTGAAGTACAGCAAATTTTCAGAGCTTGTGCAACAAGCTTTGCAAGGATGGGCTTTTATTTGGAGAGCACCTTGTTCTCTCTTCACTGTGTTGCCTGAGAGCATTGTTAACAGCCCTCCAGCACAGCCACTCCTGTCCTGGGGTGCTCTTTGATCCCTACTTACAACAGCAATGTTTCATCCATAAAAGGCAGGGAGTAGAAAGAAAATGGGCAATGCTTCAAACAGTATCTGAAGAACAACATCAGTATCCTCCCCCTTCTTCTTCAGAGGAGGTCATAGGGTGGTAGTGAAGGTGGTGGGGAAGGTTAGATTAAAGCGTGTCTTGCTAGAGCTCAGAAATTTTTTCTTGCACAGTGGGTTGGGAGAAGGTCAAACGGTTAAAAACATAACGATGCTCCTTTTCCTAGAAATTCTCCCTGTGACCTCCTTCCGTCACAGGCGTTTGTGCTTCCTTCCCAGCCTGTGCAATTTGGCATGCTCTGCCCAAGGAACTGGCAGTTTGGGGACAGAAGAGACCCTGCATGGCAGTGCCGAAATGCCCCAGCAAAGCTATGGGAGCTGCCTTAGCGCAGCATCTACTTCTGATAGCTAGAGCTGAATCCTCTATCTTTGTGAACAGCTAACTCTACTGTATTTCCTCTTCCCAGATGGCTGTAACCATCTGAGGACAAAGAGATAAGAAGAATATTGAAGTCAGTTACGTCAGCTCCAATATATTCCGGTTCCCAACGCCAGCGTATTTCCCTCTTTGTAGGCTCAGGGCTTAGGCATGTGCAACCACAGCTACCACAGGGAGAAGCAGTAGGACCTTTCCTCACTCATTTTGCTGCATGACCCACATAGTCGTGCAGTCCATTGCCTTTCACCCAGTGAAATGGGTGGAGTGGGAAGAGATGCAAGTACATTGGAGTTTCTGTCCCAAAGCACTACTGTATTTGCCCATGCAAAAAAATGGGGAAGGGAAGAGGAAAAACAGACCAAATGTTATCTGCCTATTTATAGATATTTCTAAACTTCCTAAACAGGAAAACCCTTTTTTACCCGAAACCCTTCTGAGTTGAAAGGGAAGTTCATCCATACCAAGCTAAGGAAAAGCAGCAGGGGATTCGGCTTCACTGTCGTTGGAGGGGATGAACCGGATGAATTTCTCCAAATCAAAAGTTTGGTGCTTGACGGCCCCGCAGCATTGGATGGCAAAATGGAAACAGGTACCTGTGCTTTAAATCCAAATCACCATGCCATGCACCGTTTCATCCTAGTGCTGCCCAGGGAATGGGTGAGGAGTAGTCTATTCTGCATTTTCCTGCGTGAAGGTGCTGAGAGCACGGTGCCCAGTGGGTGGCAAGGAAACAGCAGGCTGGTTTGTTCTGGCTGAGATTAGGCCCAGCATGGTGAATTCCTGTTAGGAATTACCTGAGGCCACAGATCCTGAGTTACGCAAGGAACATCACAACCTTAAACATCCTTGTCTTGCAGCCACAGTGTTAAAAACAAATCATCACTTAATCAATAGCTAGACTTCAAGCCAAAGTGGGTCTGAGATGTGGTGTATGGCACCATATTTGAGCAGTTGGTAGTTGAGAGCCTTCTGTTATAGCCCTCCTGTGCTCCCAGTTTCATTTCAATCATACATCAGTGTAGCACAGTGCATAACAGTGAGAGCTGGGCTTCGCAATAGCTGTTAAATGGGCCATATATTGTCGTTTGAATTTATTAATTTTTTGCATGAGCCAAATTGCATTTTCCACTGTCAGAAACATTTATGCATATGACAGCATTATGCAGAGAATCCATTGTGTATAGATAGTTCTTGCTTGCCCAAGCGCGACTACTGGTTTTCCTTGCACAGGTATTTAAATGATGCTACTCCACTGTGAGTAGCACCTGTGGATGCTGCAGATCAGAGCTCTCAAGCTCGAGTCCTCAGACTCCTGGGGGAGCTTCATGCACAAAAGTGATGTGGCTAAATGGGTTTGGTATATCTGCCTGTGTGTTCTGCAGGGGATGTCATCGTCAGCGTGAATGATACCTGCGTGCTGGGCCATACTCACGCTCAAGTTGTGAAAATCTTCCAGTCCATTCCCATCGGAGCCAGCGTGGACCTTGAACTGTGCCGAGGCTACCCTCTGCCCTTTGATCCCGATGATCCCAACACAAGCCTGGTTACGTCCGTGGCGATTTTGGATAAAGAGCCGATCATTGTGAACGGGCAGGAAAATTACGACTCTCCGGCGAGCCACAGTAGTAAAACGGGGAAGGTAAATGGCACAAAGGAAGCAAGGCCAAGCAGCCCAGCTGAAGTCTCTTCCAATGGATCCCATGGCTACCCCAATGATACGGTCTCTTTGGCGTCTTCGATAGCAACACAGCCTGAACTCATAACTGTGCATATAGTGAAAGGGCCTATGGGCTTTGGTTTTACTATAGCGGACAGTCCTGGTGGGGGCGGCCAAAGAGTGAAACAAATTGTAGACAGCCCGCGGTGCCGAGGCCTGAAGGAGGGCGACCTTATAGTTGAAGTCAACAAGAAGAATGTGCAGAGCCTCACCCACAACCAGGTGGTGGATATGCTGATTGAATGCCCTAAAGGGAGCGAAGTCACGTTGCTGGTGCAGCGAGGAGGTATGTCTTCAAAATTGCTTGAAAATATTTTTTCTTGAAAGAGATGTGTGTCATGATAGACCTGCTATATACAGTAAAAATTATTTATTGTTTTGCCGTTGAAGCTATGCTGGGGGGAATGTGCGTGTAGTTCCCATGCACACATGCCTACACACGTCTTCAGACAGTGGATAAAGGGGTGAGGTACTTACAACTTTACTTACGTGACAAACTCTGATCTTGTGTGCTTGTAAAGCTTAATTCTTTTAAATTTGATACGGACGTATCTTGAGCTGTTTGGGGAGATGGAAGAGGCTGGCAATACGTGGTGCTTTGTGATTTACAGTGTCCAGAATCAGACACTCGCTAAATTTTCACTGTGGAAGGGTTACACCTCGGCTGCGTTTCAAGGGAGAAAGAGAGAAGGAACATCACCATCCTTGGAGATGTTCAGAAGCCACCTGGACAGGGTCCTGGGCAATGTGCTCTAGGTGAGCCTGCTTGAGCAGAGGGACTGGACTAGATGATCTCTTGAGGCCCCTTCCAACCTCAGCCATTCTGTGATTCTGAGAGAATTTAAACTTCTCCAAGCTGTAAGCAACTGAAGTGTTGCTTGCAACCCCCAGCCAGCACTGGGAGGAGTGTTTTATATAAAAGTACTTCTCTGAAATCTTTCCAGATTCTTCTGATTGTAACAGCTTAGCAATGGATGCCTGCCAATTTTCTGGGGGGACAAGCTGCTTTCAGAATTTGCAACTCTGGTGTCTTATTTTTGAAAGGCTGTTTCAAGAAGCTGAGGACATTAATGCTGCAAATAATACAGTTCTGGTGAAAGCAGTGCTTTTCTTATGCTCCTCCCTTTCCAAGTGCTTACTGTATTTTTAAATTTTGATAGTAAATTAAAAAGCAGATAACTGAATATATTAAAAGTTCTCCAGTTTTGTATACTGATTTCCAAAGTGTGAGTTCCTTAAAGAATTTCAATACTAGAGAGGTATTAAAATGTACTGTATTCTCATGAGTAATTTATGTATTTGGGAGAAAATATGGTTGGAAGAAAAACAGCAGCTATTATTAATCCTCCCAGAGAGCACACATATATCTGGTACCACCATGCATTAATTATTTGAATTGTGGCTGACATTTAATAATCCTTCTTATACCTTGAAGGTCTAATGAAAAGATTTGATGAGGAAATAAAAGTATCATTTTAATAAGGTAGTAAATAGTTCTCTGGTAAAATTGCTGAATCTCTTTTCTTTCATTTAATCAAGATACTAAACCCATATTGACTATTTGCTATCACCTTCCCACCTCGATGTCCTTGAACCCCCTCCTTCCTGCCCTCTATCAAGGCCCTAATATTTCGGTTTGATTACAGAGTACTTGCAGCTCCAAATTTCATTCCATCATGGTACAGGACACTGTAACCGTGGCGGCCCTGGATCCGCAGTTAATCATTGAAAGGTGTTTTCCTTCACATCCAGGAGGAGGAGAGCTGTTTGGGAAGGTGGTTAGTTGTGGCGCGCAAGCCAAGCAGACGCAGGTTGCCATCGCAGCCGCAGCCCGGGGAGCAGGCGGGTTTGTTACAGGTTGTGAGATGGAGTTGGCTAAGATCACCCGGTGCTCAGAGCTGGTGCACTTGGGTCCTGTCTCCAGTAACTTCACCTTGCGTTACCTCTGCCAAGTCTTTTATCAGAAGCACCATCCCCAGACAACGTGCCGCTGTTTATTTTGGTCCGATTACAGAAATGTATTTGGCTCCAGTGTCTGCTAAGCTCCTTCAGGGCTCTCAAAGTACTTTTTCCGCTTCCCTGCGACTTGTCTTTTCCTCCTCCTCCCTCTGGTGTCCGGCGAAGAAAGTGCTCGGAGAGCCTGTCAGCCCCCGTGCCTTAGTGTGACGTTTGCACGCAGCGAGGCTTTGCACGAAGCATCCCTCCAACGCTAAGACTGGTGTTCAGAGCTGTCCAAGGGATTTGTCAGAAGTGATTACTAATCAGGCAGAAAAATATCAGAAAGAGATGTGTAATATACAGGAAAAGCTCTGCCTGCTCCAAGCTGCTGGTGCACTCCCAGTGACTGGGTTTAATTGTTAAAATGCAAAGCCCACAGCCTCTGACAGCAGCCTGTAAAATATTTGATGTAAAGTGTCTTCAGCTGAAGCTCTGCTTACAGGAGCTGGTACGTCCTGCCATTGATTTTGAGCAAGGAACAGAAGGATGATTTCAGGAAGGGTGAGGCTGAAATGCTTGTCCCCTGCTCTGCTTCTCGTGTATCATCTGAACATCGTTTGCAGGACTCCGTAAGGGGAGAAAAAATATATTAACTGAGAGAGGGATGATAGCAGGTCATTGAGATTTTGATTTCAAGAGGCCCTGTAGAAAAACTTCTCTTACCTGTGTAACGAGATGCTTCCCCTTTTCCCCTTCCTCCTAGGGGTTCATATTTCCTTGCTATCATTTTCCTGTTTAATCTCTACATAGCGCTAGATAAAACTGCCAAGGGATGTGTCTCAGTCCAAACTTCAGCACTTGGGAGGTTCAGGAAGGAGGTATCCCAGCTGGAGCCCGGGTGCGGAGGGCTGCAGGGCAGATTCAGCCGCACGCGAGAGCAGACCCAAAAAGCTGCTTTAGCTAAACAAAGCGAAGGGGCTGAAGGGGCAAAACTATTGTCCCTAACTATCAGGTAGGAGAGAGAGAGAGAGAAGATACTTAAACCAAAGAGAGATCTTAGCTTAAGAACAAACAGATATAGTTTGGCAGTGAGTGATTTTAAGCTGGAAATAAGAAAGCGCCGACCCGTTAGAGCCTTGGAGGAGGCATAAAGCCTGTGTTGTCAGAAGGCGAAGCTCAGTAAATTTTTGAAGGGAATACAACTTGGCAACCCAGGAGGTCCATTCAAGGGCTGCACACCTGAAATTAAAGCGGTGCTGCTAGTTCAGAATGCAGACTTAAGCGTATGGTTTTGTCTTGGCCTGAGGTTGCGCATTGCAGTTTATTTTGAAGAATCATTGTTAAAAAGGCCAAAAGAAAAAGTACATCCTCATTTTTGTATATTTGTAGCTGAAAAGGTTCTTTTTAGCTTTGAACCTAACAAGTAAACAAAGCACTTTTCTCAAAAAATGGTACTAATAATTGCCTTTCAAAATATGTTTTTCATTGAAGTCTTGTCTATGCAAAGTAATTGATTGAAATAAGTAGTTCTTAATTACTGCTGCAGAGATTCTGTTCAGAATCAAAGCAACCTTTTGGCAGAATAATTCCCCTGTTTTGCTAATGAATTTTATTCTCAGGTAGTGTGGCTACACTGGGACAGATAGGGGGCAATTCCAGAGTAAGTAATTCTGCAAAACTGCTGTGCTGTATTTTGTTGTGTCAGTAAGATCCAACATTTATCTCAGGGAAAATATTTGTGTGCTTTATTGGTGTATTTTGCAAATTACCTCCGATACTTTTTTTTTTTCCCCCCATCAATCTTAGGCCAGTCTTCAGTACAGCCATCTATATGGTCATCCAAAAATATTGTGACTGGTGTGTGTTCAGTTACAAGAACTAAGCTGGGTAGTTTTTCTGCATGTCCAAATGGGTGGAGTTTCCCTTCAAAGCTTTCACAGTTAGTGCTCACTAGCATCTGTACGGGCTGGAAGGTCAAAAATAGCATAGACCTTGAGCCTGATCTAGCTAATCCCCTCAAAGATGTGTTCCCACTTTGCTCCAGATCAAAGTAAAAGCACACAGGTGAAACGTCACTCCCCATGTGCAAATCAGTAGAGTTTCTGATAGCCTTTCCTGGTGCAAATTTACATTAAATTGAAGAAGGGAAATCAGTCTTTTGAGACGTGTATGAGATATATGCTGGAGTTTCAAAACCAGTTGTCTTTTGAGGGCACAAGAACCTCAGCCACACCTGTTTAAATGCTCATCAGTGGGCACCCGAGGGCTTGCCTCTAGCCAAAAGCAAAGTCAGTAGCAAATTCCCTTTTCAAGGTTCAGCTGAATGGAAGATGTTTCTGGGGAGGCCTACACCAATAGTCCTGTTCCTTTGGTCCTTGACTCAAAGGTCTTAAGCAGGTCTTAAAATGCGTATACCTTAAAGAGAGATTTGCAGCAATAGAACAAAATTGCAAAGCTTTCAAGCAATAAACCTATTAGGTCAGCTTAACTATATAGACTATGTGTTGCTGTTGCAGTGATGCTCTTGGCATGTGAGGCTAATTAACCTCCACTGCTCCCCACAGAAAGGCGTTAACTCCTTCATCCAGTGGTGAAAATGTGTCCTAGAGTCAACTGCTCTGCACCTGGCAGGTCTTTCTGTAACCTAGGATGGGAGGACATTTTTCTCCCTATTTATCTTGTGTTCAGGCACTGAAACATCACATATTAACAAAAAGAGGAATGTCTTTTTCTTTACACTGCTGGCTGCAGCTTCAAGCTCTCCCCAGCCAGGGCAGCGAGAGTTAATGGATCATTAAGATGCAGTGGGAAAACTTTGCAAACAATATATCATAATGGCCAATAATTGCTTGCCCATTATAACAGCATGATGGAAATCAGATTGCTCTTTGAGATCTAGAGTGTCAAAATGCAATGCTGCAGCGTAAGGGAGCAATGACATTGAACATAAAATATCCGGGCTGGGTGAGATCCAGTAATGCTGTTAGTTTCAGAGGACATCTCCTCGGTACTCCTTGCTTTCTGGCGCCTCCGTGAGCGCCTAGCGCCTTGAATTTTGTAAGCAAAAATTGGCAAATGTCTTTCTACATGTTTCTTGAGATATCTCTCCCCGATAGAAATGGAGTCGTTTCACCTTACTGTCCTTACCAGAAGTGCTGGCAATCCATCATTAAACGGTAAGAGCCAAACAAAAAAGCAGTATCTAATCTCGCATCGTTGGAATTAGATCTCCTTCTCAGTTGCTGTCCCTAATGAAGTAAAGCCATGGTAATTAGAGCTGCAATCAGCTATTCAGTGGAGGCTTGAACTCTTTTTGAACAAGCCACTCACTTCTGTTTGCCCTTTAGG